TTAGTTCAGCTGGATAGAATGTCTGCCTACGGAGCAGATGGTCGTAGGTTCGAATCCTGCATCGGGTATACATTAACCTCACTTCCTCTTCATCCATCCTACGTCAACGAAATCGGGCATCCGATGTGAAGCTCCACCTAGTTTGCACAAGACGCTGAAGGCAAGCACATGAGATAGTGGTGCGCACCAACGGCTGTACCTGAGCAATCCGGATTCCGCTCACGCATCTTGAATCGGCCACTCGATGTGAAGCTCCAACTAGTTTGCAGAAGACGCTCAGGCAAGCACATGAGATAGTGGTGCGCACCAACGGCTGTACCTGAGCAATCCGGATTCCGCTCACGTATCCTGACGGATTGACCAATTACCGCCTAAACCATTTCGGAAGAGTATTCAACTTTAATATCAATCAAAGTGACTAGCTTCATCGCCCGATTAGTTCAGCTGGATAGAATGTCTACCTACGTAGCAGATGGTCGTAGGTTCGAATCCTGCATCGGGTATACATTAACCTCACTTCCTCTTCATCCATCCTACGTCAATGAAATCGGGCATCCGATGTGAAGCTCCACCTAGTTTGCACAAGACGCTGAAGGCAAGCACATGAGATAGTGGTGCGCACCAACGGCTGTACCTGAGCAATCCGGATTCCGCTCACGCATCCTGAATCGGCCACTCGATGTGAAGGTCTAACTAGTTTGCACTAGACGCTGAAGGCGAGCACATGAGATAGTGGTGCGCACCAACGGCTGTACCTGAGCAATCCGAATTCCGCTCACGTATCCTGACGGATTGACCAATTACCGCCTAAACCATTTCGGAAGAGTATTCAACTTTAATATCAATCAAAGTGACTAGCTTCATCGCCCGATTAGTTCGTGATCCTGATCCGTTTGATGAACCCGAAGCCATAATGAGTGAATGATAACAGATTAATAACCACGATAGTCGTAGTGTGTGGGGTGCAGTATGCCGTGAAACGCATCTATCCGTTTCACTTGGGCGAGTGAGAGATATACAGGATATAAAGAATGCAAGAATCATCATAGTGAGTGTATGAGAACTGAGTGGTATTGAATGATAGTGAACCACTACGAGAGAGAGCAAGATAGCAAGAGAGTTATCTTGGTTCTCACATATCTCCCCCCCTAAATATACGTAGTGAAGTGGAGAATATTAATATTAGTTGACTTCATTGATGGTATAGACAGAGGTTTCGGTCGGCTTGGACAGAGTCATCGCTGAGACGATAAGTCGCAGTACCGAGAACGTCCTTGATAGTAAGAGGGCCTGTCCAGTTAGGTTGAAGCACACCATTGGACTTGTTGTCGGTCCACTTGAGTACTTTCTGCCCAACAGCAAAAGTGCGGCGACGCGACTGGCGATCACCAAACTTCAGCATAACCTTAGCCTCAGCTTCTTCCATAGCATCATGAACCTCCTTGATCATAGCCTCACGGCGAGAGAATCGACGCTTAGCTTCGAACTTGACTGTATCAGCAG